CGGATGCTACCCAATCGGGTTACTGGAGCGTAGTTCCTTCCGAAGTGTCGTCCTGCCCGTTGGCGGTGTCCCCCCGCGACTAAGCGGGCCTTGAAGCGGCTGTCGGCCTTGATCTTGAACACGAAGCGTGTGTCGAAGATGTCCTCATCCTTCGGTACCAGGCTGATGCGTACTTTCTTAAAGACTTTGTGCTTGGCGAGATTACCCATCTCGGTGTCGATAGCGCTCTTCCACTGCTCGCGTTGTGGTGAGTTCATGGCTTCGGTGTACGTGCTCGGAGTTTGGATCTCTTGGTTTTCTCCCCCAAGAACCCTTTGCTCGAGGTGCCCGTGGCGTAAGCAGNGCGTACTTTCTTAAAGACTTTGTGCTTGGCGAGATTACCCATCTCGGTATCGGTAGTGCTCTTCCACTGCTCGCGTTGTGGTGAGTTCATGGCTTCGGTGTACGTGCTCGGAGTTTTGATCTCTTGGTGTGTCTCCCCCAAGAACCCTTTGCTCGAGGTGCCCATGGCGTAAGCATACGCCCGGACTTCGGCGAAGGGGTCTTCATCCAGGTGAGCAAAATCCGCCGCGTCAGTAGGGCATCGTTGCTGCGCTTGGTGGGTGAGATCGAGTAGTTGATCCCCGGTGAGCTCCAGTTGGTCGGGGTGGCAGACAGCCATGGCAGAGCGGCCCCTGTCGTTCATGTTCACTTCCAGAGATTTCGGGATGCATGAAGGGTCGATAGGGTCATCTGTGGGTTGGTGAGTGCGCGTGGCAGGACGGGTCACCGTTAATCGACGCATTGGGATGGGGGCTGGCGAAGCGGAGTCCGTGTCTGTTGGCGTCGTGGGTGATTCGAGTGTCGTGTCCTGCGATGTCCTGGATGGTGTCGTAGTCCGCGAGTTGTTGTTGCTGTCAGCTCCCCCAGCAGCAAAGTAGTTGTCGGAATCAATGCCCGCGTTGTTTTGGCGAAGTTCTGCTCGGTGGATGTTGTCTTGCTGCATGTTGCGCATCTCGTGCAG